CTTGTGGGGACATTTATTCCAGTCAGCCAGGACCACCCAGAGGACTTTTTCTTCAGCCACCTTTAGACTGTGAAATGACCTGCCCGAAGTGCATTGACAGCTGAATATGTTATCTGAATTTAAAACAGCACTAAAAACCACTCTCTTCCAGCAGCCTATCCAGATTATTTTAAAAATGTAAATTTTAAACAATGAATTTTGAAATGTGTATTATTTTAATATGTCTTTGTCTTGTTTGTTCTTTTAAATTGATGTGTGTTTTTAACTGATGCTGTGTGTTTGTTGGTCTGTTGTTGTTCCCCGCCTCCATGGGGAGAGGTGGGGAAAGAATAATAAGAACAACAAAAACAACAATAATAACAACAACTATTACAAGCAGAATCTGTGACTTGGTGCTAGCTTTGACTGGTCTGCCAGCTGTGCCCTTTTCTGGACAGGGGCAACTGGGCTATAGCAATCCATGCAATGGTAACTTCCTTATTAGACTGCTGTAATAAGTTGTATGTGGGTCTGCCTTTGAAGATAAACTTGGACACTACAGTTGGGGCAAAACACAGTGACAGGATAGCTGATATTGTATAGAAGCCTTGTAACATTGGCCTTGAAGGAACTGCACTTGTTGCCAATATTGTTCTGGATTGGATTCAAGATTCTGGCAATAATATTCAAAGCCCTAAATGATTGCATCTTGTAGGAGTGCCCCCTGCCTGAGGTCTGGTGGAGGTCCGTCCTCAGTCTCATGTTAGTGGGAACAATACTCTGTGGGAGCATGTGGGAGAGGGCCTTAAATGTTGTGGCACATCACTTGTGGAATGTTTTCCCCTTGGAGGTTGATGGGTGCCAACTCTGACTTCATTACAGCACCAGGTCAAAAAAAGTCTTTTAATTAAACCCTTTAAGTGTAAATGATTTCTCTAAAATGTACATACACATATTTTTAAATTGTTTTATTATTTTAGCCTGTTTTAACTTCTTAAATTATTGAATATGTTTTAGTCTGTTTAAATAACTTTTTGTTTTAAATTTTAAATGGTTTTAAACTGTACATTTATTTTATTTACATGCAATTCTTGAATCCCATAACAGACGGTGGGATATAACTATATTAATAAATAAGAAATAAGTTCACGGGCATAAGCATAGTGTTCATTTGCATTTGAAATTTCCCAGTTGGTAAAATTGAACTAGCAAAAAACCTCAAATTCAAAGTTATGAGTGCAGTTAATTAAATGGCTTAGGCTGCAGTACTTCAGACACATCTGGAAAGAAGTCCCAGATGAACTCTGTGAAACTTCAGGCCGATGCAGACGTCCCAAAAGGGACGGCACATAGCTGCCCCTGGGAGTGGTGGATCGGGGCCACAGCCTTTTTGGGGAGAGCAAAAGACCATCCTTAGAGCCGGCGCTGTGGCTCTTTTGCATCCTTTGGGGCCCTTTTGGCACAGTGTGTGTGTATGCTGCACCAGGAGGACATCCTGACGCTGCGCAGCATGCAGACAGGTGTGCAGTGTCAGGATGGCATTGGGCTGACAGGACGGCATCGGGCTGACGGCCACCCCAACTCCACCCCCAGGCTGGCCCTTTGTGCCACTCTGCATTGGCCCTTACTTTTGAGATGACATAGGATTGTGCTTTCCTTGTGAAAAAGTGTGTATAGGATTAATAATGTGCACCCAGATTACTATACAAGAATGTAAGAAAAATCTATCCAAGCAGTTTGGTGTAATAGATGAAGCACTGCAGTATAGATAAAATAGTAACAATAAGACAATCCAATGTGAAAAAAGAATAATGGCAAATTGAATAAGTATAATACAAAAACCTACTACTTCTTCAGCGATCATATATTTATATTTATCCCAGGGCATAAATTTTGTAACCCTAATTCTTCTTCCAGCCTTTTTTGTATTAAAGCATTCTAAGTTTATTAGCTCTTCTGCATAACATTCTCAAAATAAATTCTTTGGCCAGAATCTTGATGCATTATCCTAGTGGTTTCACTTTTTACAGGATTGCAGCAGTGGTGGGAAAAGGCAGACAGAACAAGCATGTTCTAAGCAACCTATTTTTCCAATGCCTGATTATTTTCACATTATTTTTTGTTGCCTATAATATATTCTCATTCTTGTCAACCAAGTTATGACACAAATTGCAATTGCACAAAAATGAACTTTTTCACTGTGCACATCCATTTTATATTATATTTGTGGAATACTCTAATTCCTATGCTTTAGGTGGGCTAGATTAAGAACTGGAGCCTGTGGATGGAATAAAGCTAGTCAGTTTATAAAGTGGAGATGTGGGCCACCTTGCACTTTGAGGTAATGACTAAGCTAGTTGTTGTGTCCATGCCATTGCTTGCACCTCCCCAAGGCCTCATGTGGAAGAGAGTGTGTGTCCATTTTCTTTATGGAATTAAGTTGTCTCCTGCAGGTACTAATGCAGAGCTAAATTCAATATTATTCCCAACTATTGAAATATATTGAAGTTACTAATCACCAGTAAGTATGCAAATCACATTTGAATTAAGCCTGAAGCCTTCACCTATTTATCAACAATCTTGTCTGATATATGTGTGTGCATGTGTATATTTCTTCTGTCATATCTTAATAGTTGTAGTAATTATTTTGTGATTTGTATAAAAGCTACTAGCTTAAAAATATTTTTTTTGATCACTTGTTTTTTTTTTTTTTTTTGCTTGCATACTGGTGTGGATCCTGAGCTTTTAAAAACAGGAATCCCTTGTTCACTATAAATGTTTAATACATTCACTTATGTTTTTCTGGATGAAAACAATAATGGTGAACACTTAGATGATTTCTGCAGATCAGTGTAGCCACTAGCAAGCTAGATGGAACAATGGTCTGAGTCAATATGAAGCAATATTGTATGTTTCTAAGTAATCCAGGAGTAGTAAGGAAACAGAATACCATGGCTGACATCCTATTAATGCAGGTGCAATGGTTAAATGCCTGTACTGCAGCCACTCATTCATAAACCACAAGGTCAAGAGTTCAGTACCAGCCAGGGCTTATGGTCAGTCCAGCCTTGCATTTTTCCAAGGTCACTAACATGAGTACCCAGCTTGTTGGGGGCAATTGGCTTACACATTGTAAACTGCTTAAGGAGTGCTTATATGCACTGATAAGCAGTATAGAAATGTACTTGCTATTGCTATTAATGAATTACAATGGTGTATGTCTGATTCATTGCAGTTCATTTTTATGGAGGTCCCTGAAGATGTGCATCACATCTAGAGTTGGACACATCTCATTCTCCCACTCTCCAGCAACATGGAAATGACTAGTGGAGGTGGGGGTTGCACTGCCTGAAAGGCAGGTTTTGGGGGTAGCATTGGAAGATGTATTTACAGATATGTAATTACCTCTCTTAGTGCAGGATCACAGCCCATATTGTCTGCTATCCTGACCCTCATTGAATTGTTCCTATTGAAATTTAAGAAATCTATTTTGTGAGCAGGACTATTGTTAGATTTGCTTAATGAAGACTATCTAGTTGTAAGTTCCATTAAACTCAGTGGGGCTAAAATTGGATTTCTCTTTGGGTAAAGCCCAGTGCTTTGGAAATGGGTAAGTATTTTGAATGGAGTTACCAGGAATTAAGATGAAATAGTTAGGCATGCATGTCTCATTAGCTTCATCTTCAAACTGTAATCACCAAACATGTAACTCCTGTTTGCCATAGGCCTGAAACAGACAAGCCAAATGACGCAGTTTCTGGCCGCATTCAAGGCATAGCATTTAGATGATTCATGACATGAACACTGTGCCAACACCATGCCAACACCAAAGAACCAGCCCAAAAAGGAGAGGGAAGAATCTGCTTCTTCCCATGTCCTGGTTCAGGACTGTGGAGGCAGCCTGGATTGGGGCCAGGTGTGTGCAGTTGCCACAGCCCTTGTGTGAACAGCACTGGTGCAGTCCCTCCATGGTCCTTTCGGCCCATCTGTTTTGGGCCAGAGTCTACATTTTAATATTTGTTATTTAGAAGAATTTCTATGCGATGAAAAACAAAATACACCTTCCAATGAATGCTTTAAAAACTTTCCCTACTCTTTTTTGCACTTGAAATAAGCTCTATTTTTAATACTTTCTCATTTTTAGCATGGGAATAAATCATGACAATGACCACCCATCTTGTGCAGATGGTCTCCATATCATGTCTGGAGAATGGATCAAAGGGCAGAATCTTGGAGATGTTTCATGGTCCAGGTGCAGCAGGGAAGATCTGGAAAGATTTCTCAGGTAATTCATTCAAGAAGTGGAATAGCTTAATGTCATCCATTTCATCTGTTCAGTTATTTTCCATGAAGGTATAAATGTTAAATATGTCAGGTTTTCAACACCTTGTAGCAACTTCTGTGTCAGAATTTAAAAACCTGTTCTTAAAAATTATCCATAACTCACTGGAACAACATTAGCAGTCAGTGTTCATCAATGCAGAAGCAGAAGTTTTAATGTAAAATTTGTATATTCTCAGCTTTCTATATTGTTGGTACAGATGGCCCTCCATATCCATGGATTCTTTATCCACATAGATTCAATAATCTGTGGCTTGAAAATATTCTAAAATTGTATAAATTCCAAAAAGAAAACCTGGATTTTGCTATTTTATATAGGATACCATCTTACTGTGCCGTTGTATATAAGGGGACTTGGGCATCTACAGATTTTGGTATCCATGCGGGGGATCTGGAGCCAAACTCCAACAAATACCATGGATCCATTGTATTGTCTGTAACCTATGTTTTCTTAGCTTTCCATATTGCTTGTAATATCTCCAAATTGTCAATTGATTTAAATAAATAGTTCAGAGACACTTTGAAAAGCAGATGTTTGACTATGGCTTAATCATGGGAGTTTGTTATTGTTGTGTGGAAGTTGGAGTTTCTTCACAAGATTTGTTCAGAAAGAGTTTGACTTTGCCTTGATCTGAGGTTAAGAGAGTGTGACTTGCCCAACATCACCCAGAGGCTTTCCATGGCTGAGCAGGGATTCAAACCATGGCCTACAGAGTCATAGTCCAGTGCTAAAACCGCTACACCATGATGGCTCAGTTATGGGACTATCCATGATAAATTCCTTGAAGGGTGCTTAGCATCTAGGCTAGCTCCTAGGTTGCCTGCTATAAGAATTGGATTTCATATTCTTTCTCCAGTTCTGTAGCATCCTCTATGACAAGAGAAAGATGACAGAAATATTTAATAAAGTGACAAAGTAGGGAAGAACCAAATGTACAAAAGACTATATCCTGAAAGAGTCTAATACCAACTGTAAACTTCCTCAAGTCTCTGTGAGTTGTTATTATAACCCTCAAATCTTCATGTACTGAAGAAAATATATAAAGACTTGACTACAATAACAACAAAAGCAAATTCAGTTCTGGATCAATGTAATTTCTTGTTCATTTCCGGACATGTGGTAAATCCAGTATTTCCTTTTCTCTCATGTAACACATTAAATTGTGGCACATTCAGTTTGGTAAGAACTATTCTATGGGCCAAACTGCAGATTGCATAACACAGTGTGTAAATATCCCGTTCTCCTTTCGTTCTCTAGGAATTTTTTAAGGAGAATACAATATTTTGTAAAGACCATTATTGGAACCAGACTGCATTTAATAGCCCTATAGGGGTTGCAGACTGCCAGAAATAGTGCAAATTGAGTCCACTTTTAGGGTTAGGATTAGGGTTAGGGAATCATGGGAACTGTATTTTATTGTGGCACCAGAGCTCTCTGACAGAAAGGGCTCAATGTCTCAGAAAAAGAAAAAAAATTCCCATGACTCCCTAGCACTAACCCTAACCCTAAAAGTGGACTCAATTTGCACTATTTCTGGCAGTCTGCAACCCCCCCTAGTGTCCTGTTGCCCTTTGATTTATTATCTGGTCACAAGGCTGGAGTATGGAACAGGATTTTGTCATGTAGTCTTATGAGTGTTATTGTCCCTATCTTGTTCCCTCTAGTTATTTGACTCTGCTCCAGACACATGAAATGGAGGGTTGTTTTTAAACTCCTGCATGTGGCAGCAATTCACAGGAGAGAAGCAGTTAAGGAAAGTTTATACCTCCCATTTCTGTGCATGGTTGTCCCAGTTTGGATGGAGGGGCATTTTCTCACTTGCGAGCAATGTCAGTTGGTCAGTGGAACACTTATCAGTGAGACTCTGATTCTGCTCTGGGTTTTAGTTTGAACTTTACAGGAGCTATCCATGGCCACTTGGAAACAACCTCTACTGCTGCCTACCAGTAAGTAAAAAGCAGAGAAGCAAAAGTAGCACATGATTTGAACCTAATAAAGGCCTTATAGGGCATTTTCTTCAACCATTGAGGAGGCAAGAGAATACATACATTTTGGAAAGAGTAATTTCTTTCCAAAGTGGTACTGGAAGCAACATAGCCCTTATGTCTGAACTCAAGGATTCTGGCATAGCATATTTTGCATGCAGAAGATACCAGGTACAGTCTCTGGCATTTCCAGATGGAGTTGGGAAATACTCCTGTCTGATTTAAATCAGTGTACATTGTATTGATCTAAATGGGCAAATTATCTGATTTGATATAGGGAAAATTTTAGTCCCTAAGCAAATAAGAAATAGTAGTGAAGTGGAACACCTTGTGTTAAATTAAAAAGAGATGGGTAACAGTCCAGAAGAAAGGG